TTTTTTTTTTTTTTTTTTGTCATTTTCGTGACCGGTAAGGGGATCCCAACCCTTGGTGTGGTGTCGTCCACACTGCGCTCAGCCTTTGAGCGCACTGGCCATTCCTATGTAGGATCCGAACCCGCGGCGGGAGCGTTGCTGCACTCCCAGCGCCGCACTCTCCCGAGTGTGCCACCGGGCCAGCCCTCAAGGATATATATTCTAAAGAGATCAAAAGCATGGTGCAGAACAACATGTATGGTGTACTATCATTTGTGTTAAGAAGAGGAAATATAAAATCTATATTTGTATTTGTTTATATAGGATAAAGAAACTCTGGAAGGACAAATAGAGATTAAGAGCAGTGGTTATGTTTGGTCCTATGAACTGGGACGGGGGCAAGTAAGGATAGAAGAGAGACCTTTCATTGCATACATTTTTTGTGCTAAGAACAATTAACATGAGACCTACCCTCTTAGGACATTTTTAAATGCATAATACAAGAACTGTATATTTTTTATAGGCTGGTGTTGAATTATACAAGTGTTGAATTACTACCTCTTCAAAAATTAAATGTAAAATATTGAGCAAAAGAAGCAATACTGAAGAATATGTACCATGTGACTGAGAATGCTTCCATGTGCATGCAGTTCCTGATGCAGGCAAAACTGAACTGTGTTGTCCAGGGAGGCACACATACTTGGGGGAGGGGGACAGTGTCACGCAGTAAGGTGTACTCGTATTTCTTACTATGGATCACAGTCACAAAGTTTCAGTAATCTTACCTATTTTACTCTCTCATCCTTGTGTTTAACTGCTTAAGATACAAAGCCAATCTGTTTACAAGACTGTGGACTCTTTAGGGCAGAGGGTTGCAAAGTTGTTCACTCTTTGAGCAACCATTTATGTTGATTTCAGATAAAAGGAAAACACTAGTTATTTGATCAACATGTCTTTAAAATGGGCAAATACAGGAAGCATCATACTGATTTGTCAGAATCCTCTTTACAATATTTTGGTTAGCTTCTTAAGGTCACTCTTCTTCCTTTTAGGTAAATGGAAGAGCTGGAGACCAGTTTATTTCATACGCGGAAAGCACACAGAATAGAACAAATGGTGGCAAGATGGCTTCGGCGCTCTCGGGACAGTTCGGCCCGGTAAGCTCCTGGCTAGCAGGGATTTCTATCTGTGAAGGTCTGGTGACCCTGTGGGAACATGTTTTGCCTGTGCTGGTAGCACCTTGGGATTGCTGTCTCCAGCTTGCTTTGTTCTTATACCATACTTGCATTGATGGAGAAGTGTACACAGGTCAGCAATTTTGCTGGAATGCCTTTCCCTTACCCCTGCCCCCAACATGTACTCACATGCACACAGACACACTCCTCACACACATGTTTACAGAGAAAAATACTCACACACAAATAGACACACAAACACACTCATACATACTTGAACACGTGCATGTACACTCTCTGGAGCACACACTCATACACACACTCTTTTGATCTCTCTCTCTCTCACACACTCCCCTCATCTCAGTACTTGATATGAAAGTCAGGCAATCTGTTGTTTATATTCTTTCCCTGTCTTTGTTTCCCATAGCTGTTCCTTGCAGTCCCTATTTCATTCTAAACAAAATGAAATCAAATACAGATCTGATTTGACTGCTACAAGAGAACTTTAAAATATGTTCTGTTTCGAAGCGTTCATTTTCTGTCTCAGATTTCCCATCTGGCCCTGCCACAGAGATGAAATATCACATGTCAGGTGTTTCTGAGACACATATTCTTCCAAAGGAACTGGAAACAGCTGTTCTCCTGCTGAGTAATAAACTTTGCTCAGCGCTACACTGCCCTATGGCCAAGTTCTCTGATCTTCACACACTGAGGTGAGATAAGACTGGTAAAATTAGCCCCATTTTACAGATGAAACACCGAGGCTCAGAGAGTGACTTGTATAGGACCACTTCCATCCCCTGCTCGGAAGCCTTTGATGGGTTTCTGTTTCTCATAAGATGAAGCTTAAACATTTTTTAGTTTGACATTTCAAGGTTCTCCATGATCGACCCACAATCCTGTACAGCTATTTGTCTTACTACTTACTCTGCTTCATTCATATTATGCTCCAGCTAAAACGAACTACTCATTGGTCCCCTATTACAAGCACCTCCACCTTTCCCTTTACTCCTTGGACCCAGCCAGGCTCCTGTGCCTGATCCCTTTCTCCCATCTCCATGTGTCCAGAACCCACCCACAGTTTAAGGCCTGGCTGAAGCACTGAGCTTATGTGAAGTTTTCCAGTCCACAGCCAGAATTAATCTCTCCCATAGTATTCGATTTGTAGCATTGGCATTGTGCTCTTCCTGGTGTTTTCACTTATTTGAACACATTCCTTTTCTTTCTTCTAGACCTGCCTTCTATTATGTCAGGGAAGGTGTTAGCCTCATCTCAATAGGCCAGAAGTGTTTGAGTTGCAGGAGCATTGCAGGTGGTCAGGTAGTACTTAATAAATGAATGGGAAAATTGCTGAGCACATTGTTTCCCGAAATGGGTTCTGCAAAACCTAGTCCTGTGTGATGCAACTCCACTACAAAACATTCTGTGGCCAGATATACTCTGGAAATGACGCAGCCTTTATCCCACTCCTGCCCCCCCACCTTAGTGATTCATCGTGCACATTGTTCCATAATGCACATGATATGAATTAAAGGCACTAACAAGTCCTGCAGAAAAGAGACCTGTTTAACTTGATGTTACCCATTGCTTCTTGGCCTTTTGGCTAAGATCAAGTGTAACTTCATGTTACCTAAATATTTAACCTTGGAACTCTCTAACATCCCACTTCTCTCACAGAATATAAACAGAAGATAACATAACATCTTTTTAGATGTATTTCACATACCATAAAATTCACCCATTTAAAGTATACAATTCAGTGATTTTTTTAGAATATATTTGTGTTTATACAGAATTGTGCAACTGTCATCACAATCTAATTTTAGAACATTTCAGTACTCCAGAAAGATACCCCATACCCATTAGCAGTCATTTCCCATTCGCCCCTCCTCCAATCCCACGTAACTATTAACTACTTTCAATTTCTATTTTTT